ACGCTCTGGGCCGCTGCGCCAGCCTGTGCTCGGCCAGCCCTGGGTTCCGCTCCTCCTCCTGCGGGCGGCCACCAGCGCTGGCCTCCGGGTTTCCTGCCACTTTCCCCGCCGGCTGGTTTCCGCCCGGCCCTGCGAGCGTTTCCCTGGGTTCCTGTCCCTGCCCCTGGAACGCACATGGGGGGCAGCCCTCCTTTCAGGCGAGGGAGACGTGGAGTGAGCGAGGACCACGGGGCCAGCCCCGCCAGCGCTTTCCAGGGAACAAGCAGACACCTGGGGGCGTTCTCTATTTTTACTTTTTCTAATCCTCACCTGAGGATATGCTTTCTCTTGGTTTTCAGCCAGAGGGGAGGGAGGGGACGTCGCTGGGAGAGAGACATACCTATGGGTTACGTCCCGCACCACCCTGACCGGGGCGGGCTCAAACCTGCAACCAAGGTCCGCGCCCTTGACCAGAATCGAACCCTCAACCCTTCAGTCCGAGGGCCGAGGCTCTAACCACTGAGCACACCAGCTGAGCATGGGGCTGTGTTTAAACGTGAAGTATCCATCGTGGCAGCCAAGGGCTGACAAGGTTTGAGAAGGTGTAGCCCATGTCCTCTGAGGAGGCAGCGGACGCCCTCTGGTGTGTCAGCTGGAAAACGAATCCTGCTGGTCCCAGCCACAGCCCAGGCAGTTCCCTCCCTCGGGGTTCACCCACGGACACCCTCTGAGCACCCCCGCGGCAGGCGCGGTTCCGGGCGCAGGAAGGCGGAGTGAAGTGGGACGCAGCCCCGCTGCCTCCTGCTCGGAGAGGCACAGCGGGGCAGCCACCGTGGAGAGCGCTGTGGCGGGTCCTCGAGACACTGAGTGTGAAATTGCCACGGGACCTGCACCCCCGCTTCTGGGGTTCTGAAGGGGGACTGATCTCCCACACCATACCATGGTGCATCACCCACAGCAGCCAGCAGGGGGCAGCAGCCCCAGCGCCCTTCAGGGGCAATGAACAAATGCGGTCTGTCCCTCTGAGGGGACAGGACTGAGCCACAAAAAGGAAGGACACGTCCTGAGTGCAATAAGTCAGAGACGAGAGGGAAGTGTGCTGTGAGTCCCCCCGTACGAGGTGCCAGACATAGTCAG